CTTTCTGTAGTCTTTTGTTGTTTTTTTCTTTTGCACAGTGATATGGACACGCCGTTTTGCCATGTTTGCTCTTTTTGCCGTGTACACGTTGAATCTGCTTCTCGCGGGGATTATTTTGAACCTCACGACATTACCGAAGACCTTCCAATTTATCTCAAACGTTTCTCTTATACGTCTGGCGTATGAGTCATCTATTCTTTCACAATTTCTCGGGCGTGACTTTGGCTGTGGGGAGTCAAATGAAACGATGTGTTATACCGGCCCACAATATGCGGCGTTTTTAGGATTTAAGAAATCACGTATGTGGGTGAACGTGTGGATCCTTGCCGGTATATCTGTGCTACTCATCATGGGGTCTCTCTGCGGGATGTTGTGGCACCGTCCGCCGCGTGATTTTCGTTGAGACATGCAAGGAAATAATGAAAGAAGAAGGAGAGTACAGCTCATGGCGGGGCCATCATTTGATGAATTGAGTGAAGAGAGAGAGAGTGTGTGTGTGTGTGTGTGTTTGCGTGCGACTGCGTGTTGTGTGGAGTTGGTGATCGTCTGCTTGATTGGATCGTTTCCAATTGTGGTGCTACCCGTCTACACATCTGCCTTGTTTTTTCCTGAGTTTCAGACGGGGAGAGAGGGAAGGAAGGCATGAAGGAAGGGGGGTATTGTCTCTCTGTGTGTATTGTTTCCCCCCTTTTTTTTTTCCTTTTTGTGGTTTCTTTATTGTGTCTCTACCGTTGGGACACATCGCACTGCAGGAACACAGGAACATCACGTGAAGGAAAGGAATGTGGAGAGAGAGGTGGCACACATGCACCAAAGCCATGGGCATTCTATGGACAGTTGGTGGCCGTCTGCGTACGGTGTACAATGGCTCGAAGAGTGAGGAAGAGCGACGCAAAGACCGATACGCCACATTTATTCGCCTCACTGTTTTTGCTCTTGCGTTTGCTGCATTCGTCACGGTAGACAGTTACGGCGATCCGGCAGAGGCGGTGGCCGGCGTGACACGTGGCATACGGCGTTTGCTGCGAGGACGCTGATGCAAATTTGAGCCGTGACGACTGAATGCACGCATTGGATGAATGCCGTTGTGTTTTGTTCCCGGTGCTGGAAAGTGATGTCACCACACGGATGAAAAAAATTTGTTGTGTGAACGAAGGCCGGTGGGCGAGGCTTAATTTTTTTTTCTTTTTGCGTATTTGTCTGTCTCTCTCTCTGTGTGTGTGTGTGTGTGTTGTCGTGGCGACAGCGGTGGATGAAATGTTTACGCCTTGCTGGCTGTCATCTTTTCTATTTTCCCCATTTTTTCTTTGAATGGTAAATGCACAATGAGGGCGTTATTCCATTAGTTTGGTTGCATCCGTGGGCCAGGAGTAGGAGCACAAGGGGATGAACTCAGAAGGGAGAAGAAAAGGGAGAGGAGAGGAAGATGGCGATGTTGTCAGGCTAAAGTACCGCATGCCACGGATGAGTTTTGCACCAATGTTTTTATTATTTTTTTTTCTTAACTACCTGGCATGGTTCACCACCGTCAATGAGGATGGCACCGACCTTGTCATGTCGCCATACGTCGCCACCTTGAAGGCGAGGAAGGCCCATGCCTTGCGGAACGAGGAGTACCCTTTCGACATGCAGCTTTTCTTCGAGGACGTCGTGCTTCGCAACCTCTTCCGTTTGAGTCAACTATTTGGTGGGATGAAGGGGGTTCGCCTCATATGGTGCTTTGCGTGGCTTGTGCATTGTATGGAGCTGGGCATTGCCTTTCGAATTTGTTTTTCATGCAGGGCAAGAACGGCGGTTTTTGCCGTCTACTGTCTTTTCACGGTGGCGGGAGGAATCACGCAGTTACTTCCTTTGATTGAGGCCCGTGATGCATATCTATTGCTACTGCAAAAGAAAAAGAATAAGAAGGAATAAAAGAAAGCAAAACAACAACAACAAACAAACAAACAAACAAAAACCCGACAATGGGGCGGGGGCCTTGGCAGGAAAAAGGTGGAGCAAGGAAAAATGAGAGGGCGACTGATGGTAGTTTCCTTTGGATTCCACCTAAAAGGAATATATTTGGAGCAGGAGATGGATAGGTGAGTTTCTGCCCATGTGCGTGCGCGTTTATGCCTGTGGAGTCGTACTGCGGGTCCCATGGACCACGGGAAAACAAATGAACATGCGGCTTCACACCGCACACACGGAATGAATGAACACGTGCATTTCTGTGATGGTGTTTTTCTCCCTCCGTTGGTTGTTTTTTTCTCTTGCACGCGTTTTCTCTCCATCACCCCCAATTAGACAGAGACCCCTGCGGGCATACGTAGAAAGACACATCCGCGTACATATCTATCTATCTGTATACATATACATCTACAGAGGCAATAAGGAGTCTGGGGAGGGGGGAAACCCATACGGCGTTCTCTCGTGTCACGTAACGAGCGAACCACCTGCTCACACTTTGACACCGGGGCGGGGTGGGGCGCCGCTCTCTCTCATGAATCTGCGCCCGCATAGACCCGGTGTCCGTAACTCCGCCCCTTTTATTTCCGCTGCAGGTGCGTCCCATAACCCTCATTCCCCTAATGGTCTGCAGAACGAGGCGTCATTTGCCTTTGCGGTGGGCGAGGACCCGCATCACATATCATCACCGTGGGCAGGTGTCACAACGGAGTTGGGGGGACGGCCCGTTTTCGCCGCGTGTCCGCCGTTCGACCGTATTTCTCAGCCTGTTACTCCCGCAGCGCCCTTGCAACGCGCTGGTGTAATCGCCACCGATACCACCGCCCTTCTACGTATGAGGACAGGGGCAACGACATCGTCAGCGGCGAAACGCTCTGGCGCAAGCCAAGGGACCGGGGACTGCATCGTGGCGCTTATTCACAACCGTGCCAATGAGGTGGGCGTGGCTCTGTGCCTGTTTTCTTCCCTGGCGGTCATCATCACACAGTACGGTGACAGCGTGGCCTTCGCCAAGACGCTTTCATTTGTGTTTTCCCGCAATCCAGTTGAGGTGCTTGTGCCGGAGACTGCGCTGGACGGGAATTTTGTGCAGACATTGTTGCGTCACTTTCGTCACATCACCTTCACGGGCGTGCAGCGCAGCACATTTGACGAGGCCCGCGGCGCGCATCGTCTTTTTGAGCTCATGTCAACAGACGAGGCCTGCCTGGAGGTTGGCAACACCGACCGATATCTTTGCGTGGCCGCTGCCAACGCCTTGGTTGAGTTTTTGGAGATGAATTACAACTGCACGCTTCTTCCGCACACTGTGCGTGTGCAGTACTTGGCGCTTGAAAATTACGTGGAGGTTTCACCAATTGCTGCGCGAGGCCTGCACCTCATCTCCTCTGGCCCGCCACCTCGAGCCCAGTCGGGTGGTCAGCGACAAGACGATGCCGTGGGATGCGGCCCCAAGAAACGTTCCGCCCGCAAGACACTCTTCCGTGGACCACGAGAGCAGCGACAGAGCGCACCGATGCTGTCGCTTGTGGATGTGTTGAATCACACAATGACAATTGTGGGTGGACGGCTGCTGCGCTCCACCATTCTGCAGCCTCTGCGCGACCCCACAAGCATTGAGCTTCGCTATGACTGCGTCGAATGGCTGCGGCAAGAAGAAGAGACACTCAAGGCGCTGCGGCGCTCACTGCAATTGCTTGGAAATAACGACATTGAACGCACCGTCTCTAATTTTTCTCATGAGCCAAAGGTACAGACATTGAAGACCATGCAGCAGCGAATTGAGGCCGTTGTGACGTTGTGGCAGCTTCTGGGCTCCGCCACACAACTTACGACCACGTTAAGTAATTGCTTGCGCGAGGACGAAGGCGCACTGAAGGATTGCGAGCACGGCGGCCCTCGTAGCCATGACTGCTGCCTCAGTAGCGACAGCGGCAAGTATGATGTAAATGAAGGCGATGCGTATTGTTCTTTTCGTGATGAACAACCGTGTCCCAAGAGGCGGAGACTGGATGAGTCATGCCAAAGCCCTCAAGGCGTTTCTCCAGCACATTATCATGGCGTGACCGCAGAAGCACCGGCAGTTGCTCTGAGGACCCATCGCGGCACGAATACGCTCCTCTGCAAAATCCTTGAGACTCTGACAGAGTGTAGCATGGAGGAAATCTGCGCCGAGATTGCGCTACACCTGGACGAAGGCGTATTGCGCGCCACCAGCGGCGTGGGGCCACAAGTCGGTGATGGAGTGACGCGGCGAGCATGTCGACCCAGCAGTGCCATCTCTCAGGTACAGCACTGCTTTGCCGTCAAGCCCAACATCAGCGGTACTCTGGATATAGCCCGTCAGCAATACAGCCAAGCCATTGAGGCAATTTTTGCTCTCGCAGAGGAGCTAAAGCAAAGGTACAGTGTTTGGTCCCTGCATGTCGTCTATGATGGTGTGCGTGGCTACCGTTTTTCGTACGACGCTCGACATGAGCGTAATGCACCTGATGCTGTCTTTCTGCAGAAATACTCTGGCGGAAGTCACGACTCACTTTATCACAGCAGCCGCATGACGATGGTGGGGGAAGAGGAGAAACAAACGAATACCATGGAAAAGAGCGGTGGTGGTGGTGGTGGCTATGGTGTTGGCAGGGCACACGCCGTGGCCACCGGCAGCGCCTCTCCTCTGCGTGACGAATACTTTTCTACGCGTCAGGAGCGTTTTTGGCCAACTTATTCCCACGACGCTGCGGCCCTGACACCTGGGGAACAGAGTGGGTGCAACGGTGAGCACCAACTCACAAAACACCAGGTGCGCGGCAGGCGGGTAGCGTGCACGACCAATGAGTTGCTGGTCCTTTGCCGTAATGCGGAAGACGCGGTGGCAGAGATTTTTTACACCCAAGACGGTCACGTACGATTCCTGATTGAATATCTTCGGCAGCGCCTGGGGAAGCTGCAGGCGGTGTGTGACGCCGTTGCCTTGTTGGACATGCTGGCGGCCTTCGCCGTGTACTCTCGGCGCAACGGTTGTGTCCGACCGAAATTGTTGAAACCAGAGAGGCCTTTGGTGAGCGGCGGGGGCACTTACTTCTTGGAGGCCCGTCACATTGGCGGCCTGGCGACAGCAAACAGCATCCAATGGGGCGACGATGCCAGAGTCCTTCTTGTCACAGGGCCCAATGCTGCTGGGAAAACGACCATTCTGCGACAAGTTGGTCAGCTCTTTGCCCTCGCACAAATTGGGTGTCTTGTTCCAGCCAAGGCTGCTGCGGTGCGTCCTTGTGACAGAATTATTGCCCACATGCTTTGTGACGATCTTGAAGATACGACCACCTCTTCCTTCGGGAAGGAGATGCGGGAACTCTCGTACTTATGTCTGCACGCCACGCAAGAGAGTGTGGTACTGGTGGATGAACTTGGAAGACGCACATCTGCGCGTGAGGGAGCCGCGATTGCGTGGGCGACGGTGGAGTTTCTTGTAGAGACACGATGCCGCAGTGTCTTTGTGACGCACTTTGGGCCTTTGACGCGTCTTGAAAGCCGTTCCGCGGGTGCGGTGAAGAACTACCATCTTGCAGTGGGCACCGAGAGCGACGAGGAGGGTGGTGCGCTGGGGGATGCAACAAAAACTTCTGGTCGCCCGGCGTGTACTCCCCGCTTCGAGCACCGACTAATTCCCGGCCCCTCACTGGTTGATCACTATGGGCTGCGTCTCGCGGAACGTGTTGGCTTTTTTAAGCCAGCACTTGACCTCGCCAAGGAGCTGCTGCCTCTGATGGAAGGGGTTAGGGGAGCACAGCAAGTCGGCAACACTGACCATGACGCCGCCGCTCCAGAAGCAGAAGAGGTTGGCCGTGACGAGCGTGTGGAAGTGTTGTCTGATGGGCGCAACCGTGGTGAGCCGGGAGAGAGTGGTGATGCTCATGACAACGCTTCCCAACCAACCGAGGTGAGTGCGCGGCTTGCTAGTGCCACCGATCTTTCCAGCATTACTGCGGTGAGCGATGAGTCGGACATCACCGAAACCATGCGGAATTTTTATCTGAACCAATAAATTAACTGTGTTTTTTCCCCGTTATTATTATTATTGTTTTTTCCTTTTCTTTTTTTATTTCTTTTTTTTTTTTTTTGTTGCCCTTGGGGAAGGGGATTGAAGGGTTTGTGTGCGTGGTGAGGATGGGGTAAGGTGGGGGTGGGACCCTTTTTCTTGGTTATTGTTTTTTGTCTGCGAACCGATAGAGGAGCAGACGGTCTGGTCGTCTTTTTCAATGGGGGAGGAGTTATATGTATTTACATCGCCGCTTGTTTTTTTGTGGGGGGTGATTTGAGCAGGGCGCTGCAGCCGTCTTTTGTTTCTTTATTTCTCGCCCGTTTCTTTATTTTGAACTTTTGCTTTTGTTTGAGGGATTCATGCGGCGCCAGCGGTGGGTGCTGCAGCGCTACTGCTCTGGCTCTTTTACAGCGACGGCTGTTGGCCGCGCAACAATTCTGCAAGGGACATCCCTGTCGTCAATTACTTCTTTGGAGGCGGACGCGGCGAAGCCGGCGACGAGGATCCGCGGACGTGTGGAGACGACACGCATTCGCGGAAAGATTGCGTTTATTCATCTTCGCCAGCCACCCTGTCACTCTATTCAGGTGGTGGCATCTGCCGCGGACATCGTGCGGCGGGTGAAGGAGCTCACGCCAGAGTCCATCATTGACGCGACCGGCACTCTTGTGCCAGCGGAGCGGCCTGTGACTTCCGTCAGCTGCAAGAATTATGAACTCCACGCGGAGCGTGTCGATGTGGTTAGCAGGGCGGCCACGCCGCTCCCTTTTCCCATAAAAGATTGCAACACGAAGCTGGACACGCGCCTGAACCATCGTGTCATGGACATGCGCACACCACTGACAGCATCGGTGCTCCGCCTCGTGTCTGCCGTCTGCCAGTGCTTCCGTAAACAACTGCTTGCCCGTGAATTTGTTGAGATACACACACCAAAAATGTTGGCTGCTGCGTCGGAGGGCGGGAGTGCGGTGTTTACGATTGATTACTTTGGTCAGCGGGGTTACCTGGCTCAGTCGCCGCAGCTGTATAAGCAAATGGTTTTGATGGGTGATGCAATGCGTGTGTTTGAGATTGGGCCTGTATTTAGGGCGGAGAAGAGTCTCACGCACCGCCACCTGACGGAGTTTGTCGGCCTGGATGCCGAATTTGTCATTGAGCATTCGTACACGGAGGTACTTGATGTGCTGGAGTCGACAGTTTGTGCCATGATTGACCATCTTCAGGAGGATCACGCGGCGCTGGTACGACAGGCGCGGGAGTCACTGGCAGACATGGATGCCGCGGAAGGGAGTCCCTCCGCATTGGGTCGGAACCAGGAAAAGGAAGAGGCATCAATTGTGTGCGAGCTGTCAGAGGAGACTCTCGGCGCTTTTGGATGTTTAACAACGGACGCGACGGAGGCTCACTTGACAACCGATTGCTACCACGGCCGCGTTGGCGTTGGCAGCATTGACGCCCAGAGACGGAACCCGCGGCAGCCAAAAGTGTTGCGTCTCACCTTTGACGACGCGGTGCGGCTGCTTCTCGATCACCATGTGGTGGATCAGCCTCCGACAGACTTCACTCTTCCGCAGGAACGACGCATCGGGGAGCTGGTGCGGGAGCGGTATGGGGTGGATGTTTACATTATCGACCAGTTCCCCCTCACAGCGCGACCCTTTTACACGTTGCCGCACCCACATAAGACAGAGTCGACATGCAGCTTTGACATGTACCTTCGCGGCGAGGAGATCTGCAGCGGCTCGCAGCGCATTCACGACATAACGCTTTTGTTGCAGAACATGGAGCGACTTCAAGTAGACGCAGCGAGCCTGAAGGAATACGTGGATGCCTTTCGGTATGGTGCCTGGCCTCATGGTGGCTTTGGGCTTGGACTGGAGCGTATTGTGCTCTTTCTGCTTGGTGCGAAGGATATCCGGCAAATTTCGCTTTTTCCACGAGACCCGAAACGTCTTGCGCCGTAATTTTTCCACCCATGCGCTTGTCATTTGTCTATGCCATTCCCACCCCTTTAGGTGTTTTCATTAGTTGAAAAAAGAGGAAAAAAAAAAAAAAGAAGAGAGAGAGAGAGAGAGAAACGAATGAATGCATGATGAATGTGGCGGGCGCTGTGAGTTTTCTTTTGGACCGACGTGAACGCCAGTGCGGCTGCCGACTGTCTGCTCCCCGCCGTCACTCTGACAGGAATGAAGGAAGAAGAACAATCAAAAGAAAGGGACATGCCAACGAGCCTTGAAGCACGTCTCGCATCCTTGGCCGCGCGCTTTCAGGAGATTGAGAGGAGCGTTGTGAAGCTACGCCACATGTCTCACGGCACGCCGAATGCACCCTCCGCAGCGGCTGCCACCGTAACGCCAACGGTGGCGGCACAATATCGCGATCCCTCAAAATTGCAGGAGTTGCAGCCATGTGCGCGTGACACACCGGAGGTTGCCGCGCTACGGAAGTGGTGTTTGAAGCATGGACTTTTTAGCGCGCGGTTCCGCTGGGTGCCGTCGGACTATTATCAGCAATCGCTGCAGTGGCGACGTGATATTTTGGAGGCCCCTTCCATTTATCATCTTTGCAAGTCCATCGTGCTGGAGAACACGCACTGTACCCACACAGACTGTAGCCACCGCGAGAACTCTCGCTACTATATCGCTGTGTTCCCGTACACAGAGAGATTTGACGATCGGCTCATTATGCGATTTGTAATGGACATGAACAAAGGAATGGGAAAGAAGAAGTTCAACTTTCGCCTGGCAGACCCACAGAAGGCGCTGCAGCTGACGGGCTTCGGTCATGGTGCAGTGGCCCCACTTGGCACCACTGAAGAGATTCCTGTAATCATCAGCGACCGCATTGCGCAACTTTCTCCACCGCTATTTTGGATGGGTGGTGGCCACGTGGGTTGCAAGATGTGCGTGGATGTGGCGGAGTTTCTTCAAGTCATCCGTCCTTTTGTTGGCTCCTTCACATCCCCACTGCCAGTTGAGGAGTTGGAACGGCTGGTTGATTGAAAAATTAGGGCGATTGCCGTCTCTTTCTCTCTTTTTCTTTTTCTCTTTCTTTTTTTTTTTTTTTTTTCGTGCGAGTTTAAAAAATTTATTTTATTTTATTTTATTTACACGTGTATGCATGGGTGGGGTGGGGAGGAGGGATAGTGGATCCTATAATTATTGATCGATTGATCCAGTACTGTTCATGTATTATTATTATACATTTAATGTCTCTTTGTTTGTACAATTTTTTTTTTTTTTTTTGCTTTTCTATTCGTTTATGTAACACACACACAAAAAAAAAAATTTGTGTTTATATGTGCCTATATATATACGCCCATCGGTATTTGCGTGTGTTTTCATTGGGGGTTAAAAAAAAAGGGAGGAAAAACAACAAAAAAAAAGAAAAAAACAAAGAAACGGTATTCAAGGGAAGTACATAGGTGTGGATGCACGAATTGGCTTCATAATGACATTGTCGGGTCGCCAACTACTTTGCCCTGTTCTTCTTGACATCGGGAGTAGCCGCTCCGTGACGTTGCCGCAATTTCATCAGGAGGTGCGTTCTTCACTGCTCAGGGAGGTGGACCGCATCCTGGCGCGTCATGGTGAGCACAGCCGGTTACCGCAGCAGTCATCAGCTGCTCTGGCCACCTCACCGAAATTATGGATTCGTCCATGCGGCTTTTCAGCGGAGCAGCCGCTGTTGCAGCACGACAGTTGGAAAATGCCGTGGCAGGCGCACATACATGCCGTGCGGCAACGAGGCCGGATGCCGTCTGCTGCTGCTGCTGCTGCTGCTGCACCCCAAATTGGCCTTGAAACGGAAACGGCGCCGTTGTTTGGCACGCTTTCATTGCCGTTGTCTGTTCGTGTTTCAAACGCCGCTGCAAAGGGAGAGGAATGCGTGACGATGATGATGGAGTTTTTTCGTGTGGATGTCTTCATCCCTGTTCACGTGCAGATGTATCATGTGATGCGTCGCATTCTGGAACGGAGGGACCTGTGGGGCGTGGCACCCGTGGGAGTTGTGGTGCCGACACATCACACAGAGTACTTTATGGATGCAGCGCGGCGCATGCATGAACGTGTGTCGAGGTCAACGCTTTCTGGATGTGACGATGTGCCAAGTGTTTTGGTGTACAATCCCAAAGGGCTCCAGTTCCAGTCACCATGACAAAGTGGGCTTTATTTTATTTTTTATTTTTTTTTGCCTATATATATATATATATATATATATATATATTCTTTGGTTGCTGTTGCCATGTTTGGCAGAGAAGGAGGGAGAGAGAGAGAGAGAGACGAAGAAGAGGACAAGAAAAAAAGGGGAAAAAGAGCCTCAGGCAAACAAATAAAAGTAAGAAGAAGAAGAAGGAGGAAGAGGAGGTGAGGCAACGCTGTGAAGTGGAGCTAACAGGTGTGACAGTGCAGCCAGGGATTTCATATAAATAAACATCCTCTTCGATATTTTTACGCATAGTTTACATTGTAATACATACATACATACATATTACAAACATAAGGGTGCAGAGGTATATCTTATATCTTATATATATATATACAACAAGGAAAGGAAAAAAAAATGAAGAAGGCAACAAAGCAGAGATCACCACAGGTGCAATTCCTTTCCAATATGGAGTCGAAGTACCCGGAGTATGCCAAAGCAATACAAGTCACAGAATGCATGATGGTGAAAGGGTTAAATGCACTGGACAAGTTTTACCCAGTTGGAGAGCGCATATATAAAAGTGGTGCAGAATGGTTTTCAACCGCGAAAAAACATCAATTGGCGCATGTTTGGCCGATTCTTCTTGGTTTTTGTGTCTGTTTCTTTGGCGGATGTTTTGCTATGCTTATTGCTGTAGTGGAGGTGGTGTATCTTACTACGTGGGATAGTATTAAAAAGAGTATTGGTACTATTTATGAAAATTACCTTTTGGCACGAGAGGCAAGCCTAAAGGATGACATGTTAGATGAAGATGGCAATGGTATTCCAGATGTTCAAGAGATTTCCGGAAAGGAACTTTTTTCACGTAAATTAAGTTTGTTTTTATGTTCTGTAGATCCAGTCAGTTTAAGGGAAGCCTTTAATACTTTACTTCTTGCATTTTTTGCAATCCTTGCAGCTCTTAAGAACAATATTGCCAATACACTTGTATTTGCATGTGGTCTTGCAGATATTATAGAACGTAATTTTACAATAAAAGATTTCATTGATGATGTGTTGCCTCCGGAGCATAAGAAGTTGTCTAGTCTCATGACGATGATGTTGTTGAATTTTATTTCCGTAACCGTTGCAACGGTTTTGAAGCGGTATGTTATGACGCTGCAATGTGCTTTGCTTGGTGCAACGATGCTTGTTGGAAATGCCATCACACTTGGAAAGAAGGCACATCTTGTGGAGGAGGATCTTGACATGAAAAGTCAGCGAAGCAAACGTCTCATCACTTTATTGGCGTGTTTTGGATTTCTTTGGCAGGCCTCTAACGGGTTTTCGGTGCCGTTTCCGTTAAACATTTTGCTTTTCCCCGTCTCTTTGCTCGAGTGGCTTCTCGGCGTTGTCTTCGCCGTTTCCGTCACTTCGGGTTTCGTGTGAAGCAAAAAAAAAAGAAAAAAAAAAGAAGGAAAAAAGTGAAAGAAAAGAAAAGAAGACATTTTAAAGTAGAGGACAAATGGAGAGGAGGAAAAGGGGCACCGGAAAACAAAACAAAACAAAAAAAAAGGAAATGCCAACAAAAAACGCAATTTTTTTTTTGTCCCTCCCGTTTTTTTTTTTTTGTTGTTGTTCTCTGTTTGTGCGGCTGCGGGTTGTAAGAGCGCCTGCCGCAATCAAAATAATGGCAGCCATATTTATATATTGTATGTATTGTATGTGTAGGTACATGTATGTAGGTATATATATGTATATATATGCACATATGTAAGTACAACATATATAAATATAAATATAATATATGTGTGTATATGTGTAATGGAACAAAAATGTATATTTATATGTATTTGCGATTTGGGGATTTGTTTTTTATTATTATTTTATTTGTTTCTTTTTTTTTTTTTTTTTTTCTTTTCTGTTGTATTCTTTTATATTAGCTTTTAGGTGGTGTTGCTTCTTTTTTTTTTTTTTTTTTTTTTACTCCGACACAATACACAATACACAATACATATTTATATATAAATATATATTTATATTTTATTTTGGCTTTGGAGAATTGAACGAAAGGGGGGAAAAAGGAAAGTGTTGGTGGTGTGAAGAAAGGATGGAGAATGACATTGCCCTACAGCAGGCCATTTATTCTTCCTTGAGGAGTCAAAGAAAATACAATCAGCAATGTCAATCACGCAGTGCTCCAGTTAACCGCCAGACAGAATCTATTCAGCCCCGTAATGGTTTACGTAATGCTCTCTTACGTGAGGGTATTATGCCTGCAGTTCCCCGATCTGCCCAAACAGGAATTTCGGCCCCTGTTGCTGTGTCGCACTATCGATTTTCACCACCTCGAACGGAATGTGTGGGTTCAACGGAAGAAAATTCAAATTCAGCAGGATCGCCCATACATCTTCAACGGGTAAGTGATCGCGTTCCAGGATGGACACAAATGTGCACAGGAGGTCGTATTCAACGACAAAATACGTTGGGTTCGCAGTTGGTATTTATAGGTACAGAAACGCATTTGGAGCAGACTCAAAAAATTTATTGCAGTGATTTATTGTTATTACGGGCAGTAGCTCCACTGCCTAATGATCAAAGTATGTCTTGTTTTACTGCTCAAGTACAGAGTTTGGTGTCGCCAGGACATTATGCCATGTTTGGTATGGGTGTAACACCGAATGCTGGGGAGGAACTGCACGGGTTTCCATTGATTTTAATTCATTTTGATGCATCTGGAGCCGCCTTTATTTCCGTGGAACGGTGGCATATGACGGAAAATGACACATTTGAACGATTAGTGGTTTTGGAACCAATGAAGACGCTTCGTTTAATTCGAGACCGTGTGACATTGTCGTTGGTTATCACCTCACAATGCATGAGTTTATCCATTAATGGTGAGCTCTTGTACCCAATGATTGTGGCAGAGGGTGTGCGTTTGGGCGAGGCACTTCCCATTCTCCTTTCAACGGGTGGAAAAATAATAATTCGGGATGTGACGGTAACGGAGGGGGATAAACCCCCTGTGAATCGATTGTATGGACGGCCCTCAAGTTTAACTGTGTCACCGAAAAAGAGCGATGCGACAAAAAAAGGTCAGGCAAGTTTAGAGGATCGTCATTCACCCGGCACACGTGCGTCCCGGTCGGAGAATCGTGTGCCCACTACAAAAAGACCCACAGCAACGCGTAACACAACAACGAAGGAAGGAAAAGGTCGTCCCGGGGGTGACAGTCTTCCTTCAGGGATTAATGCGGAATTTGCAGACCGTATTGAGTCTGAAATCATTGAACGTTCGCCCAATGTACAGTGGGAGGACATTGCTGGAATTCCCGATGCAAAGCGATTATTAAAAGAGGCTGTGATTCTGCCACTTTTGGTGCCGGAATTATTTACCGGAGTTGTACAGCCATGGAAGGGTGTACTTTTATTTGGGCCGCCTGGAACAGGGAAAACAATGCTTGCTCGAGCCGTAGCCACAAGTGCAAAAACAACATTTTTTAACATCAGTGCATCTACTCTTATCAGTCGATATTTTGGAGAAAGTGAAAAAATGGTACGGACTTTATTTCAGCTCGCTCGTCATTACGCACCTTCAACGATATTTTTTGATGAAGTGGATGCCCTCATGTCTTCTCGAGGCGGAAATGAACATGAGGCCAGTAGACGTGTGAAAAGTGAGATGCTTCAACAAATTGACGGATTATCGACTGAAAGTGATAGACGTGTGATGGTGTTGGCAACGACAAATCGCCCATGGGACTTGGATGAGGCCATGCGACGTCGTTTGGAAAAAAGAATTTACATCCCCCTTCCTGACGCGGAGGGTCGCATGGAACTTTTGAAGAAACAAACATCCTCCATGTCATTGGACCCCAGCGTCGATCTGGGCATCATAGCCAAGTCAAAAACGGTAGGATTCAGCGGTGCAGACTTGAATTTGTTGGTTCGCGATGCGGCCATGATGCCAATGCGTAAACTTATTGCCGACAGGACACCTGCCGAAATTGCGGCCATGAAGGAAGGGGGAAAAATGGTGTTACCGGCAGTGACGATGCGGGACTTTGAGGAGGCGGCGAAAAAAATTCAGCCGTCCGTCTCGCAGCAGTCCCTTAAGCAATTTGAGCGGTGGTCGGAGGAACTCGGGTCGGTGTGAGAGTTGCAAGCGATTTCTCCCAGTCGTTAAGAGAATTTTTATTGCTGCAAAAGGAGGAAGAAAACAAAAGGAGAAAACAACAACAACAACAACAAATATGTTTTAAGATGTCCGGTCACTTCCCCTCCCCCTCCCCATGTTGAAAGCGAAAGAGGGAAAAAAAGTACTTCTTGTGTGTTTTTGGTTTTTTTTTTTTTTTTACTGATGTTCTTTTGTTATATCTTTTTTTTCTCCCTTCTTTTTTTTTTGTGTGCGTGCTTTGTGTGTTTACGTCCTGCACTGAACGTCGGTGCAATAAAACTTGCCACTTTGAAAAGGGGGAAAAAAGAAAGTTTCTTTTCTTTTCTTTTGTGTTTTTTTTGTGTTTTTTTTTTTGTTTTGTTGTTGATGTTGTTGATGGAATGTCGTGACCAGACATTTGTGCGTAAAGAAACAAAACAAAAAACACTTTTTATCTTTATTTATATCTAAATGTACATTGGATGCATATGCCTTTAAAAGGACGAATAGGAAAGAATATACATGTATACACACATATATTTATATATTTATATTTATATGAGATATGTGTGGTAATTTTTATATATATACATGTGTGTGTGTGTGTACTGTTTTGCCCCCACTTTTTTTTTTTTTTTGTCGCGTGTTTTTACGTGTGGCGAGGGATAAAGAAACCGTTAAATCCTTTTTTTTTTTTTTTTTCTCTTTTCTTCCTTCTTCTTTTCTTTTTTTCTTTTTTTTTTTTTTCCTGGCCGGTATTATATGTACGCATCCATCCATCCATCTATTTATTTATATATTTATAGAGATATGTATGCGTATTTGTGTGTGTATTTGTGCGAGTAGGGCTTTTTTTTTTTTTTCCTTTTTTTTTTTTATTTTTTGAAATGTAGAAATTTCTGTTTTGCCCCCTTCTTTTTTCTGTCTGTCTGCCTGTCTTTTTGTGTTATTTATTTATTTATTTATTTATTTTATATGTTTGGAAGGGGGGTGAAAAGGGGGAAATACGACGACGAATAGGAGGGAAAAACAGACATTTTTATTATTTTTAGTTGTTTGCATGGCTCAGTGCGACTTTTCAAATGACGGGAGTGTTGTTGGGCGTATTTGACGGCTACATGTCGTTGGACCGCAATGCGCTGACGTCTGAGACGAAAATTGGCGGCACGCCGACGTACTTTCCGGCACTTTCGGATGCTGAAAAGGCCACCATTCGAGGATGGACCACCTGCGGGGTGTGTGGCTACCCGATGTTTCTTCTTCTGCAGGCCTTTAGTCCCCTGCCGTCGGCACCTGCTTTACACCACCACCGGATGATTTACATCTTTTGCTGCAACTCTGCCGCATGTGTAACGCAGCCATCATGCAGTTGGTGCGCCTTTACCCTTCAAGTGGACGCGGTGGATGAAAATGCGGCGGAGGACGAGGAACCCGAAGACATGTCGCGGTGCGATCCCTTGCGATCGTCTGAACTGCCGCCCCATACATTTCCTCCGTGCTTTGTGGAAATCGTAGCCGAACCAAAAAAAGAAATTGTTGTACCAACCGAGTTAGAGGCTGAAATGATTCGGGCTTCGGAAGAAAAAGCCCGAAACGCTGGCATCACAGAGGCCGATATAAAGGAGTTGGAACGGACGATTGATTTAAAGGACAAACCTTCCGATCATGAGTTTGAGAAATTTCGAAGACGAATGGCAAGGGAACCGAGACAAGTTCTTCGTTATTATGTGCGTGACCCATTGGGGAAGAAGAAAAACGGAGCACCAGCACCAACTGCTTCGCCACTTTTTATGCATCCCAGAAATGTGGGGAATAGAGTTCGAATTCCACCATGTGACAGCTGTGGAGCTGCTCTCATACATGAATTACAACTCATGCCTACATGTGTGTATTATTTGCGTGTTGGGGAATACATAGCGAGTGGGAAATCCGCTTCGGATGAGGGCGTTGATTGGGGTTCAGTGACAGTTTTTGTCTGTTCAAACGACTGCTCGAAGGATTGTTCGGGTGTGGTGCTGCGCAGGGCCTTTGTGCTTGTGGAAAAGGCCCCGGAGTTGGAAGACGAGGTGAGAGAAGCGGATGGGCGACAAAACTTTCACTCATTTATAAATTCTTCGTGATGATGGAGAAAGAGTGCGTGTAATATATATTTATTAAATTAATAAACGAAGAAACGGGAAGAAAAATAATAGTAATAAATAATAATAATAATAATAAAATATAAAAAAAAGAAAAAAAAAAAGGACGGGAAAGAAAGGGACCAAAATCTGTAAAGTAATTGTGTCCTTATTTTGTCCTGTACCTTCCCATTTATATAAATATAAATAAATACACATATGTATATTCGCTCTTCCCTATTCCATGGTGTGGGACACGATCATGTTAATATTCTTCTTTTATTTTATTTTTTTTATTTATTTATTTATTTTTTATTGTGTTTGTTGTTGGACCTGCTTGTAGGCGTGGTGGGTGAGGCAGATACGGATTGTTTCCCCTCCCCCTCCCCCTCCCTTTTAAGACTTCTGCGCTTGGGCTGCTTAAGAAAAAAGGAAAAAAAAAGAAGGCTGCCCATATCGTTAAAGAAGCGACTGGGCAATTGTGCTAGAATTATATCGGGGATATTCAATGAGTCGCGACGCAAAACCGTTTTTTAGAAGGCCCACACTGGCCGATCTTGTGGCAGGAAGACAAGGCTCAAATGTATCACAGGAATCCAACTCTGCTGGGACGTGTCAAGGTGTTTCGGTATCCTCCGCGGGTTCTACGGTGCCGCCAGTCTCCGTGAATACCGGAGGTCGCCCAGTAGATGACGTGGAGGAAGCAGGGGCTCATGATGATTCCTTTGCAAGGATGGAACAGTCGGGACAATGGAAGCTGGAGAAAATAAACCGAGGGAAACTACACGATATGTTTGTCAAGGAAAATGGTATCCGACGGGATAATGTCATACGGCTTTTAAAAAAAATAGGTATAAATTCCTCACTGAATGATGCAGCACTGCAGGTGCTTTTTAAGGAAAATACACACACCGAGTCTTCCATTTTACCTGAGCAATGGGTGGCTCTTGTAGAGAAACTACTCCGGGTACAGGAAGATGCTACCGAGGGCACGGCGCAATCCAATGAGGTTCTTGCGTCAAAGCCAAGAAATGATGAAAAGCCGAAGAACGTCAACGTGATGCAGAGGAAGGATACAGTTTCATCACAGAGGAATCGAGAGGTTTTACCTGAGCGTAAAGATGGAAATAAAAACAATGTCAGTATCAACAACTACGTTTTGAATGAAACCAGGGAACATCCTGGTGAAGTATTTGAGAAAAAGTGGATTACCGGAGGTGAGGCGACAGATATTGCCTTGTTGAAGTTGTTTATTCATTGTGGTGCATTAGACCGAAAAGATAGAGGAATAGAATTGTTACCTGAAGATTTTAGACGCGTCACGTATCTCCGACGAAACATATTACCTCCAAAACCCATCGTATGGGATGCGGCATCTAAAATAGCTGATTGGTGCTTGCAAAATTCGCATTCAACAAGTTATGAAACAGATGATTTATGCATGAAAATGTCAAGTTTTCTGGACCTTTTAAATGATGAGTTTCTTGACCTTACAGGTGGAAAAGTATGGAATGACAAGGCAGCGAATTCTTCTCCTCCGACAGTATGCATGGTTCTTGCTTCACTGGCACCTGTGCCACTACAGCGGCTTTTTGGCAAAGAGGTGGTAGATCACCTTTGCAGTCCCTCGACGGTTCAGAACGTATTGAGGGCATTAGGAGGTTCTCGTGGACTTTTTTCAACTTTTAATGAGCCAATGCCTCAAAATGGGAAGGAGTTTGGGATTCCTCCACCATTGCCACCCCCAGCCTCGAATAACCCGCAACGTCCACAGGCCCGTTTATTGCCTTTTTTTTCTTCGAGCGCATGTATGATCGGCATGGGTGGTGGTGGCGCTGAGGGTTGTTTCACTGGCATGGATGGGGCAGGTGTTAAGAAGAAATCCCCTTTGGTTTCTTATTCTGTGGGCTCACGTTCTTCTTCGACGCTGCGGGGTGCAAATGGGAAGAATGAGCAGCCACGATACATGGAACCAAGGCCACTTGACGAAATATCTGCCTCTATTGTTGCAAGATCCAAGGCCCGTAGGCTTATAGATGAACTTCGAAAGAATGCCATTCCCATTAATCGTTACGAGTGTTTTGCACGTATTGATTACGTTCAAAGAGCCATATTTGATGATGCTAGCCTTGGAGAGGAAGAGGAGGAGGAGGAAGAGGAGGAGGATGGTGGAAATGTTAGTCGTGATGCCGGAGCACGCGCCCATCGACGGCATCGTTACACTCGTTACAGGGCTCGACCGCCAGACATTACAGGCCCATTGTTACCTGGCATGTATAAGTTGGGTGGGCTTGGTCAACCCCTGCAGCGTCGAGCAAGGCAGGAGACATTTGAGCGTCTTTACGGGCTACGCTTTGGTCAAGTGCGTGGGGTAAGCAATGGCTCCGGGTATCGATCCACGTCCTTGAAGAGTGCGGCACTTTTGGCGTCACGCAGCGCGAGTGAAAGAGGCACACTTGCTTCTGGGCAAATCAACCCAGTGAAAGTGGAGGACTCAAAAAAGGTGGGGTTTACTGAGGAGCGACCGATGCAACAGGCGGATGATGCGCCGACACCTTTGTATCAGCGACGGCAAATTCGTGGGAAAATGACACGGCGGGGCTCACGACCACCGTTAATGCTGGCCAATTTGTTTGCAAAACAAATTGTCTTTTCTTCGCCCGGCTCACAACTACCGACTCCTAATTCTGGCACTGTTTCCACAAGGAAGGGTCAAAAAAGAAACGGTTGATGAATTCAAAAGAGGAGGAATATTATTATGATAATGATAATGATGAGGGAGCTCAAGATAGCGTGCCAATTAGATGATATAAATATATTTATATTCAGTTTTTTTTTCTTGTTTTTCTTTTTTTTTTTCACTTCAACTAGAGAGCTGGCACGTCGTGTAGATTTACAGACGCGTTGATGTAGCTTCATTGCGGCTAGTTTTTTTTTTTTTTTTTACTTTTGTTCTTTCATTTATTGGAGCGGCAGCAAATGATAGATGTTCGTTGATAAATGCTTTTTTTTTTTTGTACTACAGATGTTTTCTTTTTTTTTTTTTTTTTTTTTTGGTGCGTGTGAGAGTGGGAGTGTGAGAGAGTGAGTGTGTGTGTGTGCCCTTCTTGCCGACGGCGACGAACTCGGAGGGGCGGGACGGACATTTGAGCGAAACGTTTGAGAGCGGAGGAGCGGAATGAAGCGACCAGAGAAAGTGATGAGGAAAATTTGAGCCAAACAAAACATTGAAGCACCGGACTGAGACGGGGACCAAAATGTAACTTGGCACGAGGCATCCCTTTCTTTTTATTGTTGTTGTTGTTTCTTCTTCCTTTCTATTTTTTATTCTGGAAGGGCTTTCATTTCCCTTCTTTTTTTTTTTTTTTTTTTCCTCCCGTCCGTCGGTGCGTGAGACAACAACAACAACAAAAGGGTGTGGGGGAAGGAGAGAGAGAGAGAAAAAAAAAAAGGGAATAAACAGAGGGGAAAGTTCATGTCATTGTTGACACGAGTGGCACCGAGTAGGCTCGTGCCTGGCGCCAAGGGGGTCTTCATTACACGTCCACTGAAGAAGTTTACACCGGTGGAAGTTGCGCCGCCGCCTGACGCCATTGCACCGCCGTATTTGGTGAATCTTCTTCGCATGCCGCCCCACACGATTTCGCTTCGACACTTTTTAGCGCTGCGGCATCAGTTTAGTAGCGGCATGTACTTCAACGTGGCCACATTGGGCGGGTGGTACTTGATTGTGCCTGGCAGCCACGCCCCACTTGCAGACCCCGCGGGACTGCGGGCGTGGCGGGAGCGGCACCACCATCGCTATGAGCAGAAAGCCGCCGTGCGAAGAAGGAAGACAGACGAGGCGGTGACGGTGACGCATGACTCAACTGCCAAAAAAAGCCGAACAACATTAATGGATTCATGTGATGGTGGCAAGAGGAATTCTTCTACCGCTGTACAGGGCGATGACGATACCAACATGGAGGGAGAGAATGAAGAGAATGAGGAGGATGAGGAGGAGGGGAAGGAGGTGTATGCTGGTCCCTCTGCAACAGCATCCTCTTCTGTTAGTTTCGGGGAGACGGTGTCTCGAGCGTCACTGCTGAGTGAGTCGCGGATTGTTATACCTGAAAGGCACCTGTTTGAGATCAATGATGGGGTTCTGTGGGAAACACCTCCGCTGAACGATCTCGGCAATCCTGCGTACTGGAAGCATCACACGACGCGTATGCAGTTATACGAAGACACCAGCATAAGCGCAGAGCAGGTAGAGTCCATTGCGTCACCGCTTAACACAGAAGGCATTCAAAATTTCTCTGGCTACACGGAACAGGGAAAGGCACGTGCAACAACAACGACTTTTTCAGGTATTAACACACAAGGCCAATGTGAGGCTGAATGTAGATGATAATACACGCCTTTTGACACTCATGCCCATCATTGACCTGAAGGAGGGCGACGAGTTACTGCTTCATTACGGTCGTGAGTGGTGGTCGCAGCGGCTACTCTCCACTCTTTTTATGTCTGTGCCTGACAATGAGATGCGGGATATTCGCTGGATTGAGGCACTCTTTAAGAAGCCGACAGATGTGAGCAAACCATTTCCTCAGCTATGCTCTGCTGTGGCGCGAAGGAAAATGCCGAAAAGGGGAAAACGTGGTGAAGATGGGAAGGCTTCCGATGTAAATGACGGGACTAACGTGGATGCAGCAACGCAACGGGATAATTTGGTGCTGTACAATGCGGTAACACGTCGTAAGGCTACGGATGCAGAGGCGCTTATATTTGCTGTGCGAAGGAGTTGTGTTAATCGGAATTTTTTTACCACTCTCGTTGGGACGACTGGTGCGGGTGTGTTTGACGTGTCAAATTGTGATGACGAGGTGCCACTCCGTCGGTTACGCCTTACGTTGTTACAGTCATTGCATCTCGAGCACGTTTCAGCAGACATGACTGGCGTGCAAGCGGAGAGGTCAGAGGCCCAATGTGCTGAGGATGAGGAGGATGGTTCCCTCATTCTCTGATCACATGGCTTTCTCGCCACAATTCCTCTTTCAAACAACTTTATTGGCGAGGATACATGCGTGTTGCATGCATGTGTGATGGTAATAACTGCTTTAACTTGATCGATGTGCACATCGTCCTCTTGCAATAAATTCTCTTTTTTTTTTTTTTTAAATTATTTATTTATTTGATTTATTTGACCATCTTCAAATGAATAAGTGTCGTTTTCTCTGCAGAATAGGAGGGGATAATTATTGCGCGTGCGATAGCAATTTAGAGGGGACCTCTTTGCTTTAAGGGGAGAGAGAAAGAGAGAGAGAGCGCCAAAAAGAAAAAAGAAAAAAAAAGTGTGTGTGTGTATCCGTGTGGAGGAGGAACACGCATCAAAAAAGCAGGGAGTGAAAAAAAAAAAAAAAAAAAAAAAAACAGAACAACAAACGGCAACATCAATAGAAGCTGGCGCCACAGATTACGTGCGCACACAGGGACAAAAGAAGGAGAACAAGAGGCAGGTAAAGGCGGGCTGCGTGATTGGTATCTTTTATTTGAAATGCAAGTGAAGCACTACAAAACGCTGCTGGCTTCTCAGCCAGGATTTGCCCGCGTGCAGGCTATCTGCTGGTCGCCAAATAACAAACGCCTGGCAGTTGCCGACAACAATCGTTTTGTAAACCTGTACGACGAGTTTGGCGAGCGGCGCGACAAGTTTCCCACGAAGGCGGCAGATAACTCGGCTGGAAAGTCGTTTGTGATACGCGGGATGGTGTTTTCTCCGGACAGCAGCCGGATTGCGGTGGCGCAGTCCGATGGGATGGTGGCCATCTACCGGATTGGACTTGAGTGGGGGGAAAAGAAGGCCATTTGCAGCAAATTTCCACAGAGCAATGGGGTCACCTGCGTGTGTTGGCCGAACACGACGCAGGGAGTGGAGCTTGTTGTCTTTGGGACTTTGGAAGGGAAGGTGAAGGTTGGGATCTTGAAATCAAATAAGTCGCAGTCACTCTACGCACATGATCACGCCGTGGTGTCCGTGGCAAATTACGCCGACGGGCAGAAAGTCATCTGTGGTCACTTGGATGGCTCTGTCTATCAGTACACGTTTGATTCCGAGGAGGCAAACGAGGTGGCTGGATCAAAGAAGATTTTTCATCACTCTTGCGCCCCGTATGTTTTGCTTTGGGGGGAACACATTTGTGCAGCGGGACAAAATGGGCATGTCACTTTCTACGACCGCAATGGCCAGAAGGTTCAGAACATTGATTACAAGGTGGAGGAAGAAGGGGAATTCACGGTGGGGTGCTTTAATCCCAGTGGGCAGACGATTGCTCTTGCGTGCCGGGAGAAGTTTCGTCTTTTTGACTACAACCTGCGCTCCCGCAAATGGGAAGAGGGAATTGTAATAAACCTTCCCAATTCTTACAGCTTTTCCGCCATGGCGTGGAAGTATGATGGAAGTCGCATCGTGACAGGAACATTGACAGGAGCGGTAGACATGTTTGATGCCTGCCTGAAGCGGTACCGCCTTCGTGGTGCGTTTGAGTTTACATACGTCAGTCATAATCAAGTTATTGTGAAGCGACTGGCGACAGGAACCCGTATTGTGCTGCGCTCGAATCTGGGCTATGAGGTCCAACGTGTCAATGTCTATCATGACCGTTACCTGGTGGCCTACACATCCACGACTCTTCTTGTTGGTGACCTGATCTCGTGTAAGTTGTCGGAGGTGCCATGGCGATTGTCAGGTCGTGAGAAGTTTGTGTTTGAAAACCCGCAGGTTTGCATGGTATTTGCGGCAGGGGAGCTTTGTCTGATTGAGTATGGCAAGAAAGAACTTCTGGGCACCTGCCGCACGGAGGAGCGCAACGCCCATCGCATCTCTGTCCGCGTACATGAGCCCAACGATAATGGCGGAGGAGGTGAGCAACAGGCACGTAAATTTATCGCTTATCTTATTGATCGACAAACAATTCAAATTGACGATCTTGGAAGTGGGATAACCGTCGCACGCGTTACCCACCAATGCCGGATTGATTGGCTTGAACTCAATTATCGCGCCAACAAGTTACTCTTTCGTGACAAGCAACATCAATTGTTTCTATATGACGTAGAGGAGCAAACCCGCACCACATTGTTGAATTACTGTACATATGTGCAGTGGGTTCCTGGTAGTGATGTGGTGGTGGCACAGAACCGCGTTGAACTTTGTGTGTGGTATAGCATTGATGCCCCTGACCGTGTTGCCGTTGTGCCGATTAAAGGTGAAGTGGAGGGTATTGAGCGTGGCAACGGTAAGACGGAAGTCATTGTGGACGAGGGCATTAACACCGTTGCTTACGGTCTGGACGAAGCTCTTATTGAGTTTGGCACAACCATGAAGGACCATGACTATAACAGGGCATGTGATCTGCTTGATCAGATTGCTCTCACTCCTGAGACGGAGGCTATGTGGGCAAATTTGGCCACCGTGGCACTAAGGGAGATGAAACTACAAATAGCCCAGCGTTGCTACGCGGCCCTTGGCGACGTTGCAAAGGTGAACGCATTGAATCATATCAATGAACTTGCGGCGGCAGCAGCAAAGGCCAGTGATGGCCTTACAGATGGTTACGACCACTACACCGTGCGGGCTGAACTTTTTATGTTGAACAAGGAGTATAAGCGGGCTGAGCAGGTATTCCTTGAAAACGGTAAAATTGAAGAGGTGATGGCCATGTGGGAGGAAATGAATCGCTTTGATGAAAGCATCAATGTCGCTGAGGCACGTGGTTGGCCGGAGTTGGCAAATAAGCGTGCACAATACTACAATTGGTTGATGGAAACAGGCCAGTTTGAGAAGGCCGGCGAACAAAAGGAACGGGATGGCAAATTAATTGATGCCATCAATTTGTATTTGCGTGGCGGCACTCCCTCACGGGCGGCAAATGTCGTTTCGGCCAATGAATTGAGGCCCGAACCACAACTTCTTGAGGCCATTGCGGCCGCACTTTTTAAGGCACAAGTGTTTGAAAAGGCTGGTGATTTCTTTGAGAAACTCAAGATGGATGATCGCGCCATTGAGGCGTACAAAAAGGGTCATGTGTACAGCCGTGCAGTGGAGTTTGCAAAACGGGCTCATCCGGATCAGGTAGCGGCGCTGGAAGAGGCATGGGGTGACTACCTTGTTGGGCAGAAACACGTGGATCAGGCGATTAATCACTACATTGAGGCAAACAAATACGGCAAGGCCGTGAAGGCTGCGATTGACTCCCGTCAATGGAGCAAGGCAGCACACATTCTTGAGGGCCAGGCAGTGGGCGCCGATAATGACAAGACGGTGAAGGGCTTTTACAAAAACATCGCTCACCATTACGAGGAGCTACATCAGTATGGGGATGCGGAGAAGTTCTACATCAAGGCTGGTTCCGTCAATGAGGCTGTCGAGATGTACAGTCGAGCGGGGATGTCCGATCACATGTATCGTGTGGCGCAACGTCATCTCTCACAACAGCAGCTTGTTGCACTGTTTGTGGATCAGGCAAAGCAGCTGGAAACAAAGGGTGACTACGCCGGAGCAGAACGCATTTACCTTAAAGTGAATGAGCCGGACCAGGCAATTGTCATGTACAAAAAGAGTCGTGACTATACAAATATGATTCGTCTTGTTCAGGCCTATCGCCCGGATTATTTGCTCAAAACACATCTTTCCCTGGCGGCTCAGTTTGAGAAGGAGAAGAACTTTAAAATGGCAGAGACACATTACGTGGCTGGAAAAGACTGGGGACGGGCGGTCAATATGTACCGCGACCGTGAATTGTGGGAGGATGCCGTACGTGTTGCCAAGGTGCACGGTGGAGCGAATGCTGCGAAGCAAGTGGTCCTTTCCAACGCCATGGTGGTGGAAGCCGAGGACGGTGTGCGGCTACTGATGAAGTTTTCTCTTGTGGATGCTGGCATTGATGCCGCGTTGGAGGCACAGAAATTTGATTTGGCTTTGCAATGGTCACAGCTTGCACAGCCCGCTAAACTCCCTTATGTGTACCTCAAGTACGCCATGTACTATGAGGATCAAGGGGACTTCCGCATGGCAGAAGATGCCTTTTTAAAGTCTGGTAAACCACGTGAGGCGATTGATATGTATCTGCATCAACAAGAGTTTGAAAACGCCATGCGTGTTGCAGAGGGATATGATCAGACGGCTATCTCTTCTATTCTTCAGGCAAATGGACGGGAACTCTTCCAGAAGGGCAATCATCGCGAAGCGGAGGCTTTGTTTCTCCGTGCTAACACCCCAGAGCCATTGCTGAAAATGTACATGGATAGCCGGCTCTACACAGAGGCTCAACGGCTGGCAAAAGAACATTGTCCTGAGATGCTTGGCGAGATTGCAAAGCGCATTGCACTTCAATCAAATGACCCGAAAGAGGCAAGTGCAGTGTTGGAGGAACATGGAGAGTATCAGCTGGCCGTGGATACATAACATCGGCGCCACACCGGAGCGGGTGCCTAATCCTAACGTTTTGGCCAGTCTCTGGGTGCGTGCGGTGAAGGTGGCCCAGAAGCATGATCGCAATATGCTTAAGGGAGTCCTTCGCATTGCCACGGAGAAGTTAAAAGATGCCAAGCGATATGTTGAGGCGGGTAAATGCTTAGAGGACTGCGAAGACTACAAGGGTGCAATCAACATGTATGTACAGGGCAAGAAGTTTGACCTCGCGGAATATCTGGCCAAACGCATCAGCCCTGAGTTGGAAGACTACGTGAAGCGGGCCATTGTGCAGGACAGCATTGAAAATGGTGGAATGAAGGACGCCAAGGTGGTTGAGGAAATTGATCCAGAGTTTGCACTCAAGGCTTACATTGCCAACAACGACTGGGAGAATGCCATCCGTATAGCGAAGCAATTGACTCCGGAAAAAATGAAATACGTGGCAGGGTTGCAGATGAAGTACCATCTTAACAAAGATGAACTAACAAACGCTCTTGACGTGGTGGAGGAGTTACCACTTGATACAGGCGACTTTCGCTTCTATGACACATGGTTGGATATGGCCGAGAAACTTGTTTCCATGATGCCACTGAAGGCTGAAAGCAATTTGAAGTTAGATGGCTTCCACAGAAGCCTTATCAATGTCTCAGAGAGCATGGCCACATCTGGACAAAAACCAGAGGATGTCGAAAGGGCAAATGCGCTGGCACATATCATTCACGCTTATTACATGGCCCCACATATGTTGGATCTCTCTTTGGGCGATTACGCAATGAAGCTTCTCCTTGGTCTCCCTCGATGGATTCCGTATATTGCACCAGAAAAGGCTTTCTTTGATGCCGGCATGGCCGCAAAGAATGCTGGATCAGACGCCATTGCATTTCTTTACCTAAACCACTTTCTTGACATCACGGAGAAGATAGCGGAGGGTGCCACCGACAGCTCGAGCATCGATGACAGCAAATTTGACTCCACAGACTTCCCCAAGAAATACTTACTGCCGAAATCGTCGAGTGTGGATGTGGCGGCAGAGGAGGAAGTCAACAAATGGGTGTTGACCATTTCCATTGAGAGCAGTTTTGACCCACACTTGCCAACAACAATGGACCCACAAAATCATGTGGAGATGTTTGAGGGTGCACTGCGGTCTCCTGCGGGAGAAAAATTCCCTGAGTGTGCTGTGACTGGCTACCCAATCATTGGCGGGGGGCTGACAAGATGTCGTAACTGCCAGCGACCAGCAAACCCGGAGGATTGGAATCGCTACATTGTTTTGGGCAAACAGTGCCCATGGTGCGGCGTGGCGGATTCACCAAACTTTTCGATGTAGATATTTGTTCACTGGGAACTGAAGCACCGTCATACTCCCCTTTTTCTGTTTTTTTTTTTTCTTTTGGCGCCGTGTTTTACCTGCTTTGCCCCGTATTACTGCGAGTGATGCAGCTTGAAAGACGCGTGTTCCTTTTTTTTTTTTTTTTTTGTTGTTTTTTGCGTGTTGTTTTTGTTGTTATTTTGATGGAGATTGGTAGAGAGGAGGAATGGGAGAGGGAGAGACGGATGGGCCGAAGGAAACAAAGATCATTTTTATTTTTATTTTATTTTATTTTTTTTCTTTTCTTTTTTTTGCTTTTGTTTGTGGTGCTTTTTTGCTTTTATGCGTTTTCTTGTGGTTCTCTTTTTTGCCAAAAAAAAAAAAAAAAATAAATTTATTCTTGTCGGTTTGCGGTGGAACACGTAGAAGGGTGGGAATCGAGTGGAGTGGGGAGTGGCCAAGAGACCGCCAACCCCAGAAGAGACATAACAGACACCCACAGGCTTAAATACATACATACATACATACATACATATATATAAATAAATACTTATATATATATATATATAGCGGGGCAGTATACATTTAAACACAAACAGACAAACCGTGCATTAGCGATATTCCTGGCAAAATGGTGCGCTATGCGAAGCGGCCGTGGTACACACCAGTAGGCTTTATGAGTTATGCACCGCATTCATACGCTGCGCTCTTGGTGTTTGTGGGCACGACTGCAGTGTTTCCATTTCGATACAAAATATCAGAGTACTTTGAACGGCAAAGGGACGGTCCTCATGTTGAACTGAGAAGAAAGGCAGTACTCTACTACAATGAAATAGAACGTATGCATCGCCGTCAGGCGTTGCAAAATTTGTCTAGTATGCAGGAAGATGACAGCAGCCATCGTTTGTCTGCCACACTACAAGGTGAGGCACTGCGTATGGGTCATGTGGATCAAGAGTACAACTACTGGTATGCCCATCAACGTGATGCCCTGCGCGCAGAGAAGTTGCTGGCTGAAGTTAGGGAACTACAGGAAAGAGTGAGTCAAGCACAATAATCATGCGATCAAAACATACAAATATATATATATATATATACAAAATGACTCTTTTTATTCATGTATATTGAGGAAGGGAATTAGGGAAGTGTAGAAATAGGGGTGTTGTTTTCATGTGTACACTGTATCGGGGGTTTATAGGCTGCATCCATTAGTGGAGGGAAGGGGGTAAAGGACAGAGTGGATTTCTACAAGAAATCTTTGGTCTGGGTGGGTGCAAGAAAAAAAAAAAAAACAAGGGGCGGGGGACAAAAAGGAGCAAAAGAATGTTGGATTTGGGAGTGGAAAAATTGATGGGGTGTTAGGAAATAATCCCCTTTTTTCTTATATTTCTCCCAGTTGACAATATTTATTTTGCATGGGCCATCAGAACCATAAATGTGATCCTCACCGCATTTCAGTGAGGCCGAACATTTTTTATCTTTTTTGAATTTTTTTTTTTTTTTTTATGCGGTACGCATGTCTTCTGGTGGTACGGGAAACGATAATTTTCTTGTGAGTCCTATTGATTTTTATTTTTATTTTTTCCTTTTTTTTTTTTTTGTGTGTGTGTGTGGAGAGCGCTGATAGAGCGGCGTGGCCGCGGCGTTCACTGCAACGCCTTGTGTGTATTTCTTTGAAGCAACTCACGGGAGTCATCGTGCCTGTGGAAGACGCGGACGGCTGAGGAGTGGAGAGGGAGGAAGATGCAGAGCCTGGCACACACCGCATACTTTTCCTCGCCGCTGGGTAATTCAGAGTGGCGGGGGCTCAACGCACCCTCGCTGGTCGAGCGCCATCTTAACAGTCATGTCGAAAGCCGTCGATCACTTTACCAGAGGGAGGCACCGACGACGGCGTGGGCCTCTGCTTCGTCCTCTTCTTCTTCTTCTTCGGGTGCTGTTGACGGCACTGTTGGGTCTTTTGCGCTGCGTCGCTGTTTGGATCTTCTGGTGCGGGCGCAAAGAACTCAATCCGAGAGTGTGACGATGCTCACAACACTTCGCGAACGTCTATTTCCGACACCCAGACGTGGAGGTGGACCGCTTCATACGCCTGTTGTTGCGTTGGACGATGTGGACCGCGAGGTTTTGCGGCTACGTATTCTTGAGCTGAAGCATTCTGGACTCAACCCAAAGCTGTCTGAATCCATTGATAGTGCCCTGCTGCCATTTCAGTCCTGCCTTAGACAAGAGTCGGGAAGGTCTGCGGCTGCCAGTGAGACAGGCGGAGTTTCTGAGGCTTTATGGGAGCCCTGCAATCGGGTGGCGTCTCTGCGGGAGCAGTTCATGGGTCTTGCTCAATTGCAGGAAGAGGCGATGCAGTCGCTGGGCATGCAGTTGTCCGAGTTATTTGCAGCCACCGCCGCCAAAAGTGGCAGTCTTTACTACTACCCCGCCGTGATAGAAACAAACGATGGGGATGGAACGCATGGAACCCGCGAGCGGGGTCCACATGATGCGGTTTTACGGTTTTTGGAGCAGCTGGAGGACGTGATGGCTAGTAAGCAGCACATTGTTCTCTGTCTGGCGATGGTCCTAAGAGAGATTTATGATTCCGTGGCCCCAACGTCCGCGTTGTCCTTGGGCGTCCTGCCCGTGGCGACGAGCAGAGGAAAGGGAGAAGCTCTCTGCGTGTTCAAAAGGGAGGATTCTGCAAATACCCGCGTGTCCGTCTCTGTTTCACCGCTGAGTACTTTGCATCCCTCATGTTCGGCCCCACGCGAGGAGTCCGTGCGGTCGCCAACAGGTGAAACTGACGGGCGGACGTTGCTGCAACCAATTCATGCTGGTCACGTGCAAGAGTGCCGCAGCGGCAACAGCAATGGACCGCCCGATGTTGATGGCTCGCCATTGCCCAAGTTGTTTGGGTGTGATATGTCACCCAATGAACCTACATGCAGGGATTGCAGGGGTCGCAGGGAGAAGATGGAAGAGTCACCACCGCACCAAGAAGATAGTGCGTCGTCTAGTGGTCTGCGGCCGTCGTGGGATTGTGACATCTCACCCGAGAGCGGCAATCCACGTTCGCCGTCGCTCTGCACAGGGGGAATGAGAGCGGTGAGCGCTTCACCACCACCGCCCTTGGCAAGGTGTCTTGGGAAGCAGACGGAAGAGACGCTGCAGGCTTCGTTGGATGCAAACTGTTGGCTGCGGCAGAAAAATGAAAAGGGGGAGGGGGAATCAATCGCCGAAGAAATGCCACAACCACAATCCGCACCGAATTTCTTACCGTCCATGAGCGAGGGAGAAAATAGGGACCATGCACCAGTTCATGAGCGACGACAGAAGGAACCCACAGTTGATATCGCCGCGGAGAACGCGCGGCTAGTGCGGTTGCTGGAAGCAAAGGACAGTATGATTCTTGGTATGCAAGAGCGTTTTCTTGGCGCTGTGCCTTTGCTTGTTGAGCGTTTAGGGAGCAATGGCCCTCACAGCGTAAGAAGCGGCAGTAACAATAGCAACTGTTCTTGTCGTAGTCGATATTCTTTGACCCGTGGGGATTCTGCTGAGGAGCGGTCATCGACACCACCGCCACCGACACGTACCGTCTCGACATCCACATGTCAGAGAGGAAGTGGGGGTCGGATCGAGGAAGCAGCAATCACGGGGCGAAGCGATGAATTTACTGAGCTCACGGTGCTCAAAGAGAGGTTGGCTGCACATATGGAAGAAAACAAGCGTCTGCGTGACGCCTTAAATGAGATGAAAGAGGAGAAGCAACGGTGGAAACGGGAGGCGAGAGAGCTCAAGGAGGAGAATCATGTATGGAAGGAGAGGGGGCGGGAGGCAAAGATGCGTTGTGAGCGGCTTGAGGATGATATTCTTTTTTTAAAGAAGCGACTCTTGAAGTCTGAGGGGGCGTTAATGTTGAGAGACGCGGCATTCACTTCTGTGAAGCGTGATGAGAGGCCACTGTTGAGTACATCTTCAAGCCATCACCTCAGCGGCAATGCCAAGAGTGAAAAAACCAACAGGGAGACGGATGGTCTTGTTTCTCGTGACGAGGCAGACGACTCCTTATCGCCTACACGAAGTCGGAGTCGAACTTTGTCTCCGTCTTTGAAGGTTGGTGTGACAACGCTGCAAACCTCTGCTTCTTTGCAGGAAAAGCGAAATCGTTTGCTTTCGAAGCTTGGGAAGCGCACCGAGGAAGGTACGCTGCCGCAGGCAAATCCTTCTTTTGATGCGCACGAGGATCCGATTGTGGTGGTTTCGCCACTGACAGAAGAGCGCGTGATGGTGGGAGGTGGCGGCGCCGCACCCACGACACCTCCGCCTTCTGCAATCTCCTTTTCGTCGTCGTCTGGGGCGGTCCGAATCGACAGGCGCCTTTCGCCGGAGTATCACTCACCGCAGGCGGAACCTTTTGCGTGCGTGAGGAGCGGCGTCCGTGGCGATGGGGCGGGGAATGCGCGGCTATCCACCGCGGAAGTTGACCGTATTCTTGCGAGTGCGCGTAGCCTTTTGAAGTCGGTTGGCTCCGCACGGAACGGCCATCGCGATTTATTTTTCCCGTCAGCTACCGACAAAATGACGTTTGCCTCCACCTCCGACTCTTCGTGGTCGGACTGCGCATCCACCATTTCCGGTGAAAACGTGCGTCAGGGGAGTGGTGCTGCCGCTTCTTACGCCGTGGCATCTGCGGACGAGGAGGAGCCGCTTCCACCAAGGCGATGCTCCATTTCCCCGTGCTCTTCCGTCAGCTATTCCTCGGCGAAGAAAAGAGCGCAACGGCTCCCTCCTCGTCAACTGGAACAAAGTGAAACAAATATTGTGAGTACAAACCAACGCAAGAAAAACGCGTCATTATCATCACCCTCATTATCCCCGGCGGCACGGCAGTCACGGCAGAAAAATGTGAAGGGGAAATCAACACCATCGCCGGGGGCACAGCGCTCAGCTAAACCGCGTCCACCGACTGCACGTGAGGCGCTCATGCGGGAGCTTCGGGATCAGCTTGATTTGCTGCAGACGCATCACGCCAGCGTTCTTAATCAAGAGGAGCAGCTGCAGCTAAAGCGGAAACAGGTGGTGGCAGCCATTCAGCGCCACAGTGATGGAGAAAACGGCAGCAGCTCCACGAGTGCAGGCAAGAAGCGACTTGCATTGACTGCATTGCTTAAACGATTTGACGCAACCCAAGAGAGGGTTCAAAAGAAGGAGGCACGACTTCGGGAGTACGTGGAGATAGTGAGGCGGCAACTGAAGACGTTAGAGGATGATTTACTTTGACGTGGGAAATAAAATATAGATCTTAGAGCAAAGATGCACACAAACACAAACACACACACACACACACACACACACACACACAGGGATACGGTGTGCCCATGCGCAGAGTTATATGTTATATATTCCTCATTGCACTTCATTCATAGGATTGCATTTATGGATGCATTGCCCTTTTTTTTTTTTTTTTTCATGAAAGTCTTTTTTCTTCTCTTTTTGCTCTTTTGTAATTTCTGTCCGACGAAGAATGGTATGTGATTATGTGCATTCTTTTTTCTTTGTTCCTTATTTTCTTTGTTTGGATTTGTAAACGTTTTTGTCGTTGTTAACATTATATTACCTCCAAGGCGAGAGTGTGTTGTATCGTAATATAGAGCGCCAACAAAGCCCAAAAGGAAGACAAAAGCAACGACACACATACACACAAATAGAGGGAGAGAGACAGCAAGAGAGAGAGAGAGATTGAGGAGTGGTGGGGTTTAGTTGTTTTTTTTTTTTTTTTCCAATTTGCCGGTGTGTGTGGGGAGGCCGATGCCGCGCGAGATAGTCTCTATTCAGGTCGGCCAGTGCGGCAACCAGCTCGGCCTCAAGTGGTGGGATGTCATGATGCAGGAACAAAAGGCCAACCCGCAGTACCCTGACGCCCGCGATGCGCTTTTCATTTCTGAGCCTGTTGGCAAAGATGGAAGCGTGGCATTAAAGGCACGTTGCGTTGCGATTGACATGGAGGAGGGCGTACTGCGCTCCATGTTACGTGGACCTTTGCAGGGCCTCTTTGATGCGACCTTTTTTGTCTCCGATGTTAGCGGGGCGGGCAACAACTGGGCAGTAGGACACATGGAGTACGGCGACAAATACATTGATAGCATCTCAGACTCTGTCCGGGGACAGGTTGAGTGCTGTGACAGTATTCAGTCTTTCTTTGTGATGCACTCACTGAGCGGTGGCACCGGTTCCGGTCTAGGCACGCGTGTGTTGGGGATGTTGGAGGAGGAATTTCCACACATTTTTCGCATCTGCCCTGTAGTGATGCCGGGAGCTGTGGATGATGTGGTGACGGCACCATACAACACCGCCTTCGCAGTCCGGGAACTCATTGAGCACGCAGATGCGGTGGTGCCATTGGACAATGATGCACTTTCCCGCATGGCAGACAGCGCACTTGGGCGAAAGTCCATGCACAATGCAGACGGGGAAATATTACGCGGGGGAGTGCCGGATGTCCACACCTACAGTGTGGCCGAACCGACCAAGACAAAGTTGCCGTATGACTCGATGAACGCAGTTGTGGCACAGCTGCTGAGTAACTTGACCTGCGCGATGCGGTTTCCTGGTCCCTTGAACATGGACATCAATGAGATTACGACGAATCTTGTCCCTTATCCACGCCTCTTATTTTTGACAGCTGCTATTGCTCCACTCAATGTCGCGCGATATTCGGTAGCTGCCGGCCCGCGTTCTATTGATACGTTGCTTGCTTCCTGCTTGGAGAAGGACCACCAGTATGTTGATGTCTCTGGGGGCACGAAATCCGCGCTTACGAAGGATGCTGGCACCTGCTTGGCCACGGCTCTCATTGCCCGCGGTCCGCAGATCACAGTTGGTGACTTGGCCCGTAATATTCCACGTATTCGTGAAAGACAAAAGTTGGTGTACTGGAACGAGGACGGATTCAAGACGGCTCTCTGTAGTGTGAGTCCGTTGGGACACCGGGATTCCGTGCTGATGCTGGCCAATCACACTTCCATTGCTCAGAAATTAGAGACAATATACGAGCGTTTTACGCGGTTGTATAATGTTCGTTCTCACGTACACCACTACGAACGATTTCTTGAGTTATCGTACTTTGATGCCTCTGCAGAGATTCTCTCGACGACGGTGGATGATTACAACTTCTTGAACACGGAGGAGCCCCCGACGGATGTGCCGCAAAGCATGCGGGAATTGGTGTACTACTAGGGCCGAAGGATTTGGTTTCTAAGAAGGAAACACGTCTATGAGGCGGTTTTATTGCCTTAACTTCTCTTTTTTTCTTTCAAGGGAAGTGTTCTGTGTTTGGGCGGAGGTTCTTTTGAGTCTGTTGGCTTCAGTCTGTCCGTCTTTTTCTCTCTTTCTTTGTGTGAGTGACGGGTTGCTCAGATGTTGTTGTTTTTTATGTGCGGTACCGTACATGCATGTGCGACTGTGGTTGTGTGCCGGCACGTTGAGAGTTCCTATTTGGCCGATGCACTCTTGGAGATGCAACTGGCTTTCTTTTTTTTTATGTTTGCAGCCTGTTTTTTCTTTTTTTTTTTTTGTTGTTGTTGAGGGAGAACAGACTTGTACAGCATTCCAGGGAATAAAGGGAAGGTGGGCGAGAAGAGCAACGAAAAACGACGGGGGAGGGGAAAAGAAGGAAAGACGGCACGCACACCCACCGAAGTCATGTCGCAACAGGCGGTTGAGGCAACACCAACACCAACAACAATGGCAGGGGGAGGAGGAAGAGGAATGACGCCGAAGAGGGAGGTGGATGCCTTGAAACGCAAGTACATTTTTGTAGACGGCCCTGTGGACCCCGAAGTGGCGCTCATTCGTTACGATCTCCCGTTCGCGCCGTCAGATCCAAAGCGGTCGCTGAAACTCCGCCGGCGCCTCGGGCTCCCTCTTGACGAACGCGCCGTCGACCCCAACGTTCGTATCGTGATTGACTCTTTCATCACACCGCGTGCGTGGCATGACGAGGCCGGGGTGCTGTGGGTGCAGCACGGCAGCCCACACCCAGTCTCTCGCACGGAAACCGTTGAGACGCATGAGAAGCTTCGCCGTCGCATGCAAGAGCTTGGTGTCCAGCGCACCGGTATCTGTCCACTGCGTTCCCTGCTGTTGGCGGAGTGTTTTCTAGAGGTGATTCGACAAGTGACTGCCGAGTGCTGGGAGCGGGGACTTTTGCTGCTTAAGATTCACACGGAGCGCACGGCCGCTCAGACGGCGCATCGGGAATTATTTGAATCCCGCGTCGGACACGCATTTCGGTTGGCGCTCAAAGGCGAGAAGGACACAAGTCGGGTGCAGCAGGATATTGAGGCCCTGAAGCGGCGAACAGAGGAATTAGCTGAGGAGGAAAAAGTCCTGCGGAAAGAGTGCGACGAGCTTGCTTCGAATGGGGAGGAACAGATGTTGATATTAGAGAAGTTGCATGCGGACGAAATAACGGCAATCAAGAAGGAAGGTGTACAGAAGCGTAACCAGCTGGAGCAGATGGTGGCGTTGCCTTTACCCCTTTAGGGTTGGAGGGGAATTGAAGGGGGAAACTCTTGTCTTTTTTCTCAATGCGTGGCTTCTCGGCTTTTCTGCTCTTTTTTTTTTTTTTTTTTTTTTTCATTGTTGTTGTTTACCCCCCATTCAACCGTTCCACCTTTTCCCCACGTCTGTTCTCTTCGCGGTGGACGATGATGTGCGAGGCGGGAGAGAAGGAACGAAAGGGCGTCTCTTCTCTTCTTTTGGGTTACTTTTATTCCGTTTGTGTGCGCCTCTCTTCTTGTTTGGGTCCAAGATCCTTCAGAATGTACAGACACGAAAACAAAAAAACAAAGGAATAGAAACCCAAAAAACTTTAGCAATCTTCATTCTGTTTGCGTTTTCTTGCATTTGTTTTGTGTGCACGTAATCACTGTAAAATTTTTGTTTTTTGTTCTTCCACGGCCTTTCATGTTGGGCTTTCGTGTCTGTATGTGTGTTTGGGGTTTTCTGTGCCTGTAGGGTGTACAGTACATATTCTGCTCTCTTGAGGCCACAGGGGCCCAAAGCCAGGGCGGGGATAAACCACCCGTGGTCACAGCTCTTTAGAAACAGAGTATACAATAGGCAATAGGGCGATATGCTCCTTGCGCAGCGCAAGAAGAGGCAGCAGGTGGCAGGTAAAATTGGTCATAGCGATGAGAAGTATGAATTAGGGACCCAACAACACGTGGTCGTGCAGCAGGGTAATAGGGCGCGCCGTTTTCCGCAGCGGCGACCCGACGTGAACCCCATTTCTTGGCAAGCGTTGCCTTCGCAGCCGTCGCATTCGCCGTCGCATTCCCCGTCACCGCAGCCATATCAACCCATGCAACAAAGGGAACCACAGGTGTCACCGAGGGTAGCCTCAAATGTACCATCTATGAACTTATTGCCACTGGAATGCAATGCCAAATACCACGGGAATGATCCGCTTTTAAAGCCTCTCAATTTCCCTTCCGCGCTTCCTCCACTCCACGCGACGCCTTGGTTGCATAGTTCCACAGTAGTGAATAGGCCCCCGCCGCATATTCCCTCAACACTTGATGCCGCGATTTTTGCTTCCGCGCTGCCATCTGTGCCAGGCACTTACAAATCAGTGCCGGGCGTGCAGCAGACCCTTCCTCCTATGCCACCGGCGTCGCCGCCGGTACTTCCGCCTGTGCTAAAAGACTCCCCGTCACGAGCGGTCTTGTCATCACGTGACCGCCAGTACGATCTCAATACGAATCTTAGGAGTCAATTTGACAAGGACAATGTTGACCAGCGCCCAACGTCACAGCCGGCAATGGGTTTTATTACTGCGTATCCACAGCCGAAAGATGATGAACTTCTTGCACGGAAACGCGAGCGGCAAAAAGCTATAGAGATCCAAAACGAAAACGCACGCTTATGTGAGGAGCGACGTCTTCAGAGAGAACGCGAGAAACAGTTGGAGATAGCGGAGGAACGACAGCAAGAGGAAGCGGCACGACGAGAGCGGCAACGGGTTGCCCAACAGGAGCGGTTGGCGATGGAGCGCGAGCGGCAAGAGTCGGGCGAGATTATGAGGGGTGGGAATAAAAGGGTTTTGTCGGGTAAGAGCCGTAGGGCACAATTGCAGGAGGATCTTAAGAAACAAATGGATGAAAATCAGAGGAGGAAGGATGAGGAGGAGGAACGTCTTCCGGCAATTAGAAGAAAAGGGACGGAACGGGCTACTTCTGAGTCGCCGCCTTGCAGTAACGGCGGTGGGGTGAATCCCGCCATTGTAGCCGCGGAGAAGGAGTGGCTGGAAATTTCTTCAAAGAAGTCGCCGGAACAGTTCCCGTCCTCTGTTGGGCCTTCAACAAACGGGAGAGCGGCGAATGTGTCGGCTCCGCTCTTTCAAGCCCCTCCGCCCTTTTCATTCGGTCCATCCCTCTACGATCCCACAAGAGCGGTTGGAGCCTTTTCTTTGGCGCCAAATTTTTCTTTTCCATCCGCCACGCCAATATCGGTGCCGAACGTGGAGACAAAAGTAGAACACACAGCTGCTCCCTCTGCTTTGGACGTACCCGTGTGGTCCGCACCGAATCCACCCACGCAACGCAAGCCGTCTCCAACCTCGGATGCCGCCCGCTATGAATCTCATTTACACGACATGGTCAGTCATCATCGGAATATTCAACGTATGTTAGAAATGGAGATACAACGGAGGCCAGGGGACGCGGTACCGCCACCGCTGCCAGCAGTAACAACGGGATTGCCTTCATCAGTGCCGTTTTCTTCCGCATTCGCTCAGGACCATCTCAGACAACCAAACCCATTTTTAGCACGGAATGGCCGCAGTGCCGCAGGTGCACACGGTAGTATCAGCAACGAAAATAATGCTGGGGGATCGTCGACTGCGTCGGGGGCGTTTTCTTCGGTGGCGGCGCCAGGGATTTTGAAAAAATCGAGTGAGCCGTCTTCCCGCATCACTGTATTGGGCGTGAGCCCGCCCTCACGTTCCTTAGGGGCAGGATCAATTGGAGCCGTGGCAGCTCCCTTCTTTGGAAAGGCAGACCCCGATGAACTCTCCGCGGAACCCTCATTTTTTGTTACCGCGTTGCCGTGAAGGTCGAGCCGAAATAATGTTTCCGGCGAAAGAAAAAGAGGGGAAAGAATGAAGGAAGGAAAAAAAAAAAAAACAAAAAAAAATTTCCAACTATTAAATTTTTTTTTGTTTCTTTCTGCTGTCACCACTTTTGTATTATATTCATTACTCTTTTTTTTTTTTTTTTTTTTTTTTTTTTTTCTGTCACTGTGATTTTTATTGCATTTTTTTTTGTTGTTGTTTATTCATTTCAATCGGGTGCGTACATTTTGTTTATATATATATATGTATATATATATGTAATGTATGTATGCGTGCGCGTTTCGATGTGACGTTTTGGGAGTGTGAGCAAACGTGTCATTGCTCCTTTTCGCTCTCTCTCCCTCTTTTATTATTACTGTTATTATTTATTGTATCTCTTCCCATTGTATTTTATGTTGTTTCCAATTTTGCTTGCGGGAAGGAGTGTAAAAGGAACATCTGCCGGTTTTTTTTTTTTTTGTTTTTGACCCAATGAAAGGGACCAATGAAAGTCCACAGGCCACATGAAAATGAGGCGGTGCGCCTGCTCCATGCATGCATGTTTGTATCTCTCTCTGCCGCTCGTTGTCTTTTACTTTTTTTCTTTTTTTTTTTTTTTTCTTTTTTTTCTTTTTGGCTTCCTGAAGAAAAGGGGCACCAGCAGGTCTTGGGTGCATCTGCTTCTTCTGTTTGTTGATTGACCTTCAGGGCTTTTCCCGCACGTGCTGCTGCCCAACCGCCCAATCAAACAGCAAACCACACAGAAGGGAAGAAGGCAAACAAACAGGCAAAACACACACACCACAAAAAAAAAAAAAAAAAAAAAAGGAAACAGGGGCCAGAAGCAAGTGAGGGGCGTAGAGAAACTGTGATTCCCATCTTTTTTTTTTTTTTTACTTTGCCCTTTGGGATTACATTGTTTTAGGCCTCCCACTCCTACTTCCCTCCCTTCCGGGTGTGCACATATTTATTTGGTTTACTTTATAGTGTTTTTCGTTTCTTTGCGGCGTATACAAACACAAGCGCCTTTCCCTCATTATTTGGAAAGAAGGCACGGGACGCGATTTTGAGATTAGAGTGAAGGTAAGAAATAAAAGATAAGAGGAGGCGTTTCTGCCTGTATCTTTTTCCTTTTTTTTTTTTGTACGTGTGCGTGTGGGTGTGGAGCAATTTATTATTTCTACACGCAGCAGCAAGAAAAGAAAAGAAAAGAAAAGAAAAAATAAGGAATAAAAGCGAGACCGGCAAGCAGGCAATTGGACCGTAGCCATGGGGTCAGACTACCCTGATGATGGGCATATCTTTGTATGCGTGCGTGTTCGTGATGTCGCCACGGTACCAGGCATGGCTGTTAATAACACCGCTCCACGACGCTTGATGCGGGAAAACATCAAAGATGCCCAGCGTATTTGTGTCTCCACGCTTGAGAATGTGGTGGTGCTGCATGACCCAAGGTCCATTGATGACGCGTCATGCGTGGCACGGGATGCGGATAGTGTGGTGCAGCTTCTCACCTCCCGCTCCTCAGGGGGGAAGTATAAGAACCTTGCGAGGAAACTCCTGACATCAACGGCAACAGCAAGCTACTTTGAATACGACAAGTGTCTCAATTCCATGGATGCAGACTCCATGCTGCAGATGCCATTGATTCGTGACAGTGACTTTATTCGTCCTCCTGAGTATGGCACACAGGAGGACGTGTATCTCTCTACAGCGGTGCATGCCGTGAGCGCCGCCGTTGATGGCATCAACTCATGCGTTTTTGCATACGGACAGACAGGGAGTGGCAAGACGTTTACATTGTTTGGCGACACGACATGTAGTCGCCGTGACCCTGGCGTGGTGCCACGCACAATTGACGATCTCTTCCAGCGTCTAGAAGGCCTTCGA